AATTAAGTGAAAGTTTCAATTCGGCTCCCATTAACAGCCCTTCCTTTAGAATTGGTTGTTGATAGCTTCTGGTAAAACGATTGCTTTATTTTAGATTAATTTTAATGTATCTGTACAGTAGATATAATTGTATTTTTGGTAAGAATATACATGGGCTTACATTTCCTCTATGCCATTTTTATGTTTTCTTTTTTATACTTCCAAAATTAATACAGACACAACAATGATACCTTCTTTAATAAAATTGAACACACTATAAATCATGACTAAAACGTGAATGTATAAGTACTTATAGAGCATCCTGTAAACACCCATTTATAGTCAATTGAAGTTATTGCCCGTGGGCTTTAGCGCTAACTTGACAACAGACCGAGTAAAATGGCTATATTTAACTCAATATATCATTATTGTAGATTCAAGTACAAGAAGCAGTCGCCCACGTAACTTATACAAGTGCTACTTAGACGTCCTTAGTAGAAACTTATGCTAATTGAATACTGAATACAAGGAGTTCCTAACATGCAGTAACTACGCACTACGAATTATTAGTGAACTTACTATGTAAAATAGCTTGTTGAACTGGAACATAGTACCTACTCAAAAGATTTTTGAAGGAACCACAGTTGACAGCTAGTCCTATTCTGCAAGGTTCCGGAATGGACTCATAAATCATAAGTTATATTGAGGCTACTTCCTTGTTGCATTTGGCTTAGGAAACTTAGACGCTAATTATGGACATAGAATGATTTATTTAGACACACACACAGCAAACACTATTGCTAAGCATGATATCAAAGTTTTGTTCTCTTGTAGGTCTCTAAAAGCCTATAATAATTCACAACATTAGAGAAACGATGGCTATCCAGTGAAAATTAACGATATAGGTATAACAAGCTCGCGCAAATATGTTCCCATTGACACAAGATGCCTCACCAGGCCTTACCTGTTTAGCTAACACCTAAGACCTTAAATGTCTTTTACGATACATAACTTTATACATATACTTAAGTATAAATATGCCAACTAAGTACAGACGTTACACAGTTTGAAGTGCCTCGGTGTATAGAAGAGGTATGTAGTTAGAGTGCCTATGTTCGCTTAACTCATTATTAGAGGATATAAGGGCTTTTGACGATCGTCTAGACCTTTGGTCGACTGATTTTTGAGAGCCTAGTAGGCATTACCACGGGATTATCGCTCAAGGGTCGTAAAAAACGAAGCAAGAGTCTCGCTTGAGAGCACGTACGGATCAGCCATAAGGCTTTTTATTAGAATAATATAAATTATTTTATTTCTCTTCGTGAGTCCCTTCAGCCTTTCGTTCTACACGACTCTTCGTGTCTAAGAAGAGATTAATATTTAATTTACTTTCCAAATTCCACATACGTTACACATAAAGCCTAAGGAATGAGTTCCGAGAAACTAAAATGATTATCCATAATATTAAATTTCTCACATACTCGTACAAATTAAACCAGTAACTTAATATCCTAATCTTAATCAATCTCGCTTTAACATCCTAAGATTAATGTCAGAATAGAAAAAAAAACAAACATTTTATTTATAAAATCTAAATCATGACCTTAACCCGTGATCATTAATAAAATCTTTATCTCCCGTTAATAAAATACTCCTAACAAAAGAGGTGTCCAGCAAAAAAGGACGTTTTACTGTTGTGTAATAAATTAAATGAACCACGAACACCTATGGCAAGTCCCGCTGTGCAGGTCGCATTGAGGCGCCTTACTTGACGGACATAAAAGAAAAAAAACGTTGCGTATACGCACATGCATGGTCAACCCACGCCGAGCTATTAAATAAGACGCTTTATCGTCCCATTCAAGGCACTAACGTGAAACCTGATCACTTTAACCTTTTGAAGTAAAACTCACGGTACACTATTAGGTATATTAGGTTACGAGCGAAATTAGATTTGATGCTCACATATTGCCTGGATGGAGGTTCTGTGTAATTAGATATAGCGCCAGATTGGAGGAGCGTCGTAAAGTTCTGTAACGTCAAGAATTTTATTCACGTTTGATGGATTTTATTGATCAGAGCAAGGACTGAACCACGTAAAAACATGTGTAATACACCAAATAGAAATATGTTACCAAGGGAACATACAATATATTTTTGTTAAACGATAATAGTTTTAATACCTAAACCTTTAATTTAATTACGAAGTCCCTTGTTCTATGCTGCTGCATTGTTTTGAACACCCTATCATTATTAACCAATTTCATTTGGGCACCAAATTTGTGTCCAGTGGTCTGAACCGATCACGAGTTAATACGAAAATAATAGCATTCGAATGCTGCTCATTATAGACGAAAACGTAATTGCTATCCTTATTTAATATTTTACAAAATTGGGGCAGGTAGCGGTCAGTTTAATCTTGGAAGGAATAAATGCAGTTTATTATATCTCATGATTTTATCTTACGATCATGCACACCTGAAACATATGAAATGACTATGAATAGTAAAAATTGTTTAATAATTCCGAACACGAAATAGACCACTTCTCAAAAATTGCAATTAAAACGAACATAGAAGCAGTATTTTTGTTTGTGTCATGTGATTCTACAAACATACCGAACGTTTCCGTGAAATGTATTACCAAATTGAAAGTACGATACAATAAGAGTGAATAAAACATACAGTTTTCTAAATAACGAAAAGGATTCACCCAAACTAGGGTACAACAGTAGAACAGTTGGACATTAATCCAAAAAGTAAAACGAGCCACTGAAACAGAACGAAAGGTTTGTTTGCTCCAATGTTTGTAGTTACACCTCCACAGCCTAACATATAGTGCGCAGTATGTAAAGCAATGTTTCGCAGAACAGCAACTAACATACTAAAGCTACTGGTATTAAACACAAGCTGTGGAACATGACAAGGGATGTACGACATGGGAATATTTGTCCCAGAAACTCTAAAGGAATATTGATATTCTAGAAACTACGTTCATAAGTACAAATTTGGTTTTGTATATGTGATATTGTTTGGTGTTGTTAATCAACAGGATCGAGTTCGTGTAATTTTGAAATATCTCTGAGGATCTAAACCTTGATACTACGAAACGTGCTACTGATATTTATAAGAATGGACTATTGTCAACGGTATGTTGTACCTATATGTAAAGATACAAGCAAATTCTACTAAATATTAAGTTTGGTAAGAAAACTATGTAGGCTCAAATACATCTAGGTTTACGACCTAGTATTAGTGCAATTGTCGCGGGGAACCTAACGGGTTACCGAGGTTCCAGCTCGAAGCGCAGGAGTAGGAACGGGGTAGTTTTTAGTCAGTAAGAGCCTGACCTCTTCTCTTCTCTTCTCCCGCCTCACCCGGCGGGAGAAGTCATTCGATGTTTTCCCCCCTTAAAAAAAGTATTAGTACACTTGAAGTGAAGACGTGGAAGTGGTTAAAGTCCAAATGGTAGCTATTTAAGACTAGACTTCATCGTGTTGACAAATGTATGTGTAAATATATTATTATTTATTTGTGAAAGTACTCATTGAAAGAACATTAACCTACCTCAGTAATTGGATTCAGGTTGTAGACACGAAATCAAACATATAATCACTGGCCTAATCTTCCTCACTCTGCTACTATTTCAAAGCTAATTAGGGACAAACAAAATTGAACAAAGACGTGAAAATATATTTGTTTATTTTCCAGTACGTAATTGATTATTAAATTACCGTAATAAGTGTTGATTATACCTTTTGTTTGCACACTGTAATGTTAACTAGAAGTTTCATTTCATTAGTTAAACAGATTTAGTACTAGTACTTGTAGTTGTGAGAAATAGTACAACAGTTTCTTTGCTTGCAAAAACACTCCTTGTAGCTTGATCTTGAAAAAGTTTACGATACATAAAGGACCAAAAATCATGATGTTTATGTTACTATACAAAAGAACGTACATAAAACCTTTAAGTACCTAAGCATTATTACGCAAGTAAGACCTACTTGCGGCAATCCTTGGATTTGTAATAAAAGTAAGTTCTTAGAAAGCCTTTATTAGTTATTACCTTTATTAGTTTACTGTTTAACGTGAACCAAACAATAGCACTATCTACTGATAATATTGTTTCTTTCCCAGTAAAACTATTAGCTGATAACAGTCGGTTATTTTAAAACATAATGTGTATCATTGGGCAACTTTGAAAGTCATCGATAATAATGTATACCTGCTCTATATTTTTAGTTTTACCGTTGAAAATAACGAATGAAATGCACTTAGTATTTTGCCTTGAAAGTATCAAGGCCAAATAAATACAAATTGTCCCCATGAAGTGACATAATGCAGAAGTTATAAGTTATAGAACTGATTTAAAATTGGGATGATGACAGGGTATGAAAATTAAATATATAATTAGTCCGTAAGTATTAAAAATATAATTAGTCGGTAATGAAAAAATATTAGACACGTATTTTTTTATTTTGTCGTACAACAAAACAATACTTAGATAAAACGAATCAAAGTCTAGAAGTTGGGGCTAAAACGTCATTTCTACGTATAAAATTTACATAAGTGACGTCACGCGACATTTCAAATCAATATAGGTATCGTCGAAAGTATTTGCTTCTGTAAAAACATAAAAAATACGTCTCTAATGATTTAAAATAATCTATCAGACGGACATTAAAATAAAAATTAGGCATCTACCCTATTGCTGAATTAGTTTTTCGAATAAGTTTAAAGACCTTTCCAATTAGTTACTAAAGCTCTTGTAATCTAGAAGTAACCTATTCTCATAGACTGAACTTCGAAGTTTCGAAGATTCGAAGGGTTCTTAATAATGATCATTAAACTCAATAAAATCTCTATCACCTCAGGATACAAGACCTGGTTGCTAAGTAAAACAATTTAAGACACAAATCAACTAGACAGATTATTTTATTTAAGGCTGGCTAAAAAAGAGAATAGACGAAATAGATACGAATATTCCAAGTAAGTTATTTTCGGCGCACCCGAGTATATAGGTAATCTTATTATGTACTGTTCTATGAACAATAGCAGTAGATATATAGGAGGGAATCCATTAGAGACTCTGAAGAGTGAGTGTACGTCGGATATGTTTACTTGATTTGATGTTTGACTGACTGATCATCATCATCATCAACAGCCTATAAATGCCCACTGCTGAGCAAAGCCTCTTCTCACACGGAGAAGGTTAGAGCATTAATCACCACGCTTGCTCAATGCGGGTTGGCGATTTCAAACTTATAATAAGAAATTATAAGTCCAGGTTTCCTCACGATGTTTTTCCTTCACCGTTTGTCAGTGGTGTCTAAATAATCTTAGAAAGTACATATAACTCGGAAAAAGTCACATTGGTACTTGCCGTTGGTAGGTTTCGAACCCGCACCCTCATGCATGAGAAGTGGGCGTCTTAAACCTCCGGGCCACCACGACGACTGACTGATCGTATATACCAAAATACTGAAATATACAATTTGGAATATTCTCACCATTTCTGGTTAAATATTATGATCTAATGTTATAAGCGTGTTACTTCTTTGATTAGGCAAAAATCTGTTTAGTAATTAGTTCCTGTATTATAGACACACACATTCAAAAACCATGTTAAAAAGCAATAGGTAACATAATTCCATTTTGACTTAAGTCTTTCAATCTTCTATAAGTAGGTGCCAAAGTCATCCCTTTTTTAAAACAGACCAATATGATAATACTATGAATATTCTTGTTTGCGACAAGCCAATGTTTGATCGGTCCCGCACCAACAGTTAAAATTTAAAGCTAACACCAAAGTGTGAAACGGTGTGCAAATGAAAAATTCCGCAACGTTTATTTCGCTATTGTAACCAATTTGTGACGCCTCCCCAAGCGCGTCATTTGCGTTCTTTTTTCCAGAAAATATCTGCAGTTAACCATTCTTTTTTCAAATTTTATATAGCAGCTCATCAAAGCATGTGATTTGACAAAAAACTGATTCGGAAACTGAAAAAAGGATTTCGAACCTTTTTGTAAATTGCTCAATACGGGTCCACACTATTAAAAAAAAGTTTCAAACATCTTTGTGTAGGTATATTTACAAAAAGAAAACATGTTATGATGATTGTTAGATAAATCATTCTCGGTGTTACTTGAGTAGGCCCTTAAGTCAACAAACATAATTGATAATTAACCAACACCGATGAACTGAACGTATATTTATATTGTACTACAAACTAACAAACTCTGTACGAGAAAGCCACCTAAGAAGCCAAAACAAAGAGTCTTGTAGTTTATTTTAAGGCTCACCTTCTTGGAAGGCCCTTGTGTGTTTGATTAAGAACTCTTATAAATAAATCTTTCGGTAGACAGGTTATAGCTGAAGATCTATCAAGAATCCGTTTCCAATGTTTTTGAACCTAATTTTATGTAATTTTCTCTGAAAAAGCAGCTGTTGTATTTTAATGTTAAGTGTACGAAAATACCCTTAAGTTCTAGTAAAAGATGTGTGGTAGTTGTAGGGATGCTATATTGTGCCGTCTACATGTAAAGATATTTATTACCACAACTTTAAGAATAAAAAAATGTTATGTATATTTCACATAATATGACAAAATTATCATATCAAATTCCCGATAACTGCATAGTCCGTGACTAATAGGTATAAATTGGTGATATTTATAGTCATATATAACAATATCGATAAGTATAGAATATGCTGATAAGTTACCTAAAAAATTACATAGAATGCCAACCTTTTCATGTAAGACTTTGACATACGAAAATCGGGTCGCTTTTATTACCTACTTATGATGTATTCATAGTACTCAAAGCGTCGAATTATTATCGGAACAGTGAATCAGAAACTATAACTTATTCTATATTTAGATGAATCGACATTACAAATGGCTACAAGTTTTCACCTGGCATACGTAATTGTGGACAATCAATCATAAAATAAATCTACTCACAAATATTAATATTATAGCTATTTGACGATGACAATACCGAAAGTAATAATGCTTTGCTACTCTGACAAACTACGTATAACCAAAAGATAAGATAGTTACACGTTAACCGATGACTTGTTCGAATTCAACAAAACTTGTTTGATTTATGATGTCAACGAAGTTCTAGTAAAATCGCAAAAAGTTAGTCAGACTACGACTAGGTATTTGAAAAACGTATGCTGTTAAAACAATATTATACCTAAAGGTATTTGATCACTAGCAATAACTAATTAGTAAAGTAAATATGCGGTACATAGTCACGAATTTTGTGTGATATGTAAAGAACTAACTCCTTACCTATATCTCTATATCTGTGTCTGTAAAAGGAAATACTATAATTATAAAAATATGCTTAAAAGATATCAAGCAACGTCTTATGAAATTAGTGTAAATAACGCTTCTAAACATTTTGATGTCAAGTTGATGGTAACAGCTACTGCCTACGCGATCGTTTAATAACAATAAATCTCCAGTACTTGACCGTAGGTTTGAAGAGAAATACAAACCTTGTAAGAGTTATCAAGTACACGAAAGTTAGAAAGCGAAGATATGTAGTTAGATATCAAAGAAAAATAACATCTGATAATGGAACTCAAAGTATATCTCTTCTTATGAAAGCAAAACTTTTATACCAAACAACATTTTAGAAAGGAATCTTAAGAAAATTCTCGAACTTTCAGGCAAATAATTCTATTAAGAAAATCTAAAGCAAAAAGGATATAAGCATACTAAACATTTTCATACTTCTTACCGCTCGTAAATAGACTAAATATGCGACGTATTTACTCTGATAACGAGGACACGAAAGGCAACAGCCTAGTTGTAGACCCTAAATAAATTCTACCAACATAAACGAACAAAGACAATGCCGCAAATAACCTTAATCAAGACAGTACAACTCTTGGTTATCAAACTGAGCATAATGAACAGCTAACAAAGCCAGACTTGACAAAATACAAATCTAATTCCGACAACTATGGATCTACAAACTTCCTTGGCCTTACAATTACCGATGCTAATCTCTCTGGTGAGCTGAAGAGCAAATCTCTAAGTTCGCCGACTTTGGGCTTGCAGTCTGTGGGCATAACAAACATCTGAAAGCGCCAGGCAAACTCTCTCAGATCGCCTTACACCTGCCGAACTTCAATTGTTGATGTTTCCGAGCATTCAAATTTGTATTCAAGTAATTTAATAAAATATTAAAAGTTTATTAAAATAATCCTGATATTTTTAAAGGAATATATTGTTTATGATACTCATTTAAAGATTTAGGTTTTAAATTACTTTTTAAAAGAGAAAACGCCTACTCTTACCCTCTTATAAGTCAAAGTTTGGAAGTTAAATCTTTCTATAACGACATTAATCATTCCAAACATTAGTAAAGTACTACAAGGGTTTAATTAATAATAACAGCCATAAATAACATAAGGTACATTATACAGCTACAAAGTTACTTTACTCCATGAGATTAAAATTACTAAGGCATACATAAGCCCAATGCGGCGGAGGAATATCAAGGAGCTGGGACACCGCGTGACTCCGCACACATTCATTGTAACAAAGCGGCGACACAGGTAGAAAAACCCGCTCCAGCTAATTTTAAACCTCGTCTCAAAAGCAAACAGTTCTTTGTACAGGAGCACAATTTTAATTAAAACAAATATTACTTAGACAAAAAAACGTAATGCGTACAAACGAATACAAATTGCCCAACACGATAATAAATAACGGAAATCACATATGTGGTAACCCGAAGACATTATAATTATTTTGACAAACAAACGGCTAACAAATCTTGGACTATCAAAAAAAGTTTTACAAATAAGAGTTTGAAGAATAGAAACGAATGCATTCATTTACTGCCTTGTGTAAACATTATGGACTTGCCCACGCACTTTAAATGGGTAGATAGAAAATGTGACCAACGGTGTGTCTGATTCAATACGTTTATAAACATCCATTGACCTTTATGGTCTTCTTTCCATTAACATACATAAACCAATTCTTATGAGAACCATCCAAGCGTTCATTAATTTACTTTTTTCTATCATCTCTACCTGTTTACTGAACCATTTTAGCGTACTGAATAGATAGTAGCTCTTTCCCTTCGTATTAAAGTGAGTCTAATCGTGAGACATTATTTTTTACGACCATTAAAGTACGTGTGGTATTTTAAATCGTTTTGTATCAGTGACTCAGAAGTGGACAAACATAAAAGCGGCCGATTTTTAATGTTCAAGCTATCAGAAATAAAGCTGTCAATTTAGACATTTCAATCGTTGATTAATATATTACACCTTTAATTACTCCCCTGGGAACGTCGCCTGCTATCAATAAAAATAATGTCAGTATCATGTAAAGCTATTCAAATATTGTAATCATAAATTTTACTATCAAATAGAAAAATATGAACACTATTGCAGTAAACCTGTTAATGTTTTAACGGTAATTATCGCAGTATATTTGAATTCCAGACTAATAAAATACGGCATGTATCATTGAGAATGGAATCGAATCCATTAAGAGGCGTTAATGTCGATATAATCCGTAACATCCGCACCACAGCACCCCTCGATTAAAATTAGCAACGTAAAGGAGGATGTGGATCATAATAGGCCAACGAAGATACTACAAAAGATCGGTATTTGTAATAGATACGGTTAGGAGAGGATTAACTGGTAGAGATCGTTAACGATTAGTACAAATTGCTGGTTTATTAGATTCCTTACACTGTCTTAACGTTTCCGAGATTATCGATTCAACTTAGATTAGAATTTCTCCGAAGACATTCATTTTCCTTGAACACTGATTTACCTTATTTACTTCTTATTTCCAAACTAAATTTTGTGCAGTCTCATAACATCACAAATAAGCCTATCAATTACTGAACACAATTCACTGCAAGCTGTTACATGGAGCAACCCTAACTTTGACAATAACGGTGATCTCACAGCGGATGTAGCAGACACAATGCACGACAACAGCACACAAATATTAGCCATTAATCGGAACTACGATATTGATAGCCACCAAATTTTGTCAGAGTTTTGTCAGAGCTTTTGTGCACAGTTCCGGCGGTAATCGCTTTACAAAGCGCCGTAGACAAAAAATTTTAGCCAATTCTATTGTTGTCCGACAAAGTTGAAAAGAATGCTCCCAGGTAGACATGGGGGTGGATCGATGACAATGCACCAGTGTGATAATTAAATCCAAAGCGTGTTACTGTGACAGCACATTCCGTTAATAGCGACACTGATACAAATTACACCATTAATGGCATCAGCGTCACAGCTTTTGGAACTTCGTATTGGGAGAAAATTGTTTAATTTGTTAACGCTACTAATTGTTTTTCATTAAACATTTCGGAGTATCGTCATTCAAAGTAAATATTGATTTTACTTTTACTACTTGTAAGATACACATAGTTCGGAGATTATAATGCCAGTGGCATTCTTAGATTATTTTTTTGCTGGCGATCCAATGCGCGCCCGTTCGACGTGGGTTCTTGGCGCACTTGAGACCGAACAGGTTTCAACGTGGAGACCGAAAACCGGTAAAAAAATCATCACAGGTAATTACGGTAGGCTCATCGCTTCACAATTCAATGTAGAAAATGTATAAAATAAAAAAAGGTAATCATAAAATGTAACTTTTTCCTATTTTACTCAGTAGGCTGTTATTTTGCAGTTAAGTAATTTGTTTGAATTGCACGAGGTTTTACTGTAGTAGGCTGCAACTGTCCATTGTAGTGTGCTATTTTCCAACCACTTTTTAGCAAAATTATTAGAAACAATGCATAGCAAGCCAAGTTGGAAACAAAGAAATTCTGCAAGTAGTAAAAAAGTAACGAATACGTAGAAAGTTATTTATGAACTTTGTGTTGGGTTATATACCGGAGAAGTAATATTGAAAATTGGTTTCACTGCCGAAACAACTATGTGCACATTTTGTGGCTGGTTGAATAATATGTTGTTAATGTCCATATGTACACAAAAGGTAGTCAAATGAAATATTTATATCCGCATTAGTAGTCATATGGAAATGAGCCCAAAGTAATCAGCGTTATCAAATCGGAGCATATTCATGTTGATACAGAAATATCAATGAACGATAAGAACATGACGTGCATGTCAAGTCGCTGACAAATGTTGGGTATAATTTACACTACACAGAAAGGCGGGCCCTCCAAGCAATATTCCACCCTCTTAATCACTACCCACTGGAATAATTAATAACACCTCAATTAAAATATCAACTAAGCGCTTCCGCCCATATGATAAAGATAATAATTCGTGAAACTTCTGTACAATAACATGTTATTATTTTCTTATAATGACCCATTAACTGTTACTTTATTTTAATCGTTTATTTTTTATGATTCTCTCTTGTTTGTCGTTGTTTTATTATAGGCTGTCGAGTTCCCTTGTTTATTAGTATTTGAATATTTTTTATTTTTAGATTATTTATTAGCTCGTCGTTAGAGCAGATACTCAAAATTATGACCTGGCTAATGATTCGTAATAAATTCTTTTTTTTATTTGTATGTGATAACGTTAATTCTTTCTATGTGGTCAAAAAAGGTACAATGGTATTTACGAATATCTTTATCGAGTCACGAAATGCATTACACCAAATTAAAGTTCCATCAGATATTTATATGGGAATGAGATCTTTGTATCATGTCAGAACAAGCCGTATTACTAATTAACGCCTTAGGGAGCTAAAACAGGTTTCGCGATTTATCGTAAAACCCAATTTAGAGCCAGCAGGCACGCGATTACAATCTTCTCACGACAGGAAGGCGCGCAAACTCCTCATCTCGAGGGAAATCACGCACGCAACAAACTTTATGGCAACACGTCCCGAGGAGCGATTCGCTCGGGGCGGTCGAAGACGGGCCGCACCACACACAGACTAATTCAAAAGAAATAACAAGATGCAGGCAGTGTCTCTACGCGGTCGGCTCATGTAAATATACGGCCAACTATATTCACGACTCACTCCAGACACAAATTACATACATTCAAAGATATCCTCTCACTTTCACAGATCACGGGTCATAACCGCTAGAAGCACTGCCCACTATTTAGGGCTAATAATCACTGACCGTGGTGGAATATGGCTGCAGACTCAGACGAATCCCATCCTGAGCAAGGCGTTCTCGAAGTAAACGCTTCAGTTGCATCCGAGGTATCTTCACTAACTCTGCTTTCCCTTCCTCATATTCGTCAACATATTTTGCTGGTTCCACTGCTGCTGTCGCCTGCTCTTTCCTTGCTTCTTCTTCACATCTACAAGAGTCCCGAGCGGCGGCTGCCTCCTCCAAAGTAAAATAAACAGCCGCCGCTCCTTCCTCTCTCAAAGATCTGACTGAATGAAGCAATCGCTGACGATGAGCAGGGTTGAGGACGCCAATAGCATCCAAATCTGGTTCCCCTACTTGTTTGCATATTTCTAAGTCATCATATCCGTTATCAATAAAACTTTCCGCGTATTGGCCCAAGTGGAGCGATCGCAACCACTCGACGACGATGTTGCCGCTCGCAGACGAGGCCATGTCGCGTCAAAATACTGTGAGCATTACAAGGCGTGCTCGCGGCGCGGTGGTCGGCGAGAAACTGGCGGCCACGCTCCCCTTTGCCCCCCTCTCCCCTCTATAAGCCGCGGTCGCCGCCCCTAGTACTTGGTGCTTTTGCTTTTTGACATTTTGTAGCTTAATCGTTTCGTTTCATGGAGAGGTGCGCGTCGCACCACGTGATATTCCGAATTAATCTTTCAAATGCCATTATGATATCCGATACGACATTTCTCGTTAGTTTCTGTCTTATAAACTTGTAGCATTTTTAAAGATAACTAATATTTGTTTACGTAACTAAACTTTGGATTAATGGGAAAAAATAGGGTCACAAAGTCAATATAATATGAAACAGCGGGTGGTCGCTGTGTCGAATGATATATGTGTAGTTTTATTTATTAATCTCTGAGGCGCCTCTATTTTATATATTGAACTACATTTAATTTGATTGCGCTCTCATTTTGTATTTAAATAGGACTAGGTATTTCTATTAATAAACTTTTACGATATTACTTTTACGTGTTATTTTTATTTTATTTTATTGTCCACTATTGTGTAAAAGTGATTTATTTAGTAATATGAATTTACATCGCGAATGTGTGTAATTAGTTAACAAAACATGTATAAATAAATCTCTTGGGGTCGTCCATCCTGTTTACTTTATAAAGCTAATTAACCACAAACTGTGAAGTGGGTCGAAGTTTACTTTTACCAAAGCTGTTACTCATTAAACTACTTGACCTGTTTTATCTCATTTCGGAAGCTGCAACTAAATGAACGAACTTGCTTTATATAAGTTTGCATAAAGTCAACGATGCGGGCTGAAGATAGTTCCCTATTTTGTTTATTGTCTTCACTGTTTAAATATTTCATCATTGTTTATGTTAAGTTTAGTGTTAAACAGTTCGAATTTAAGTTTTTCAACCAACCGTCCAAAATTAATATTATTTGACTATTTCAATTATTATGAATTAATGTTTTGAGGTTGTCGAAAATAATAATACTCATGAAGATAAAAAAATATTTTTGCCATAATTTTATTTTTACTTCTTATATGATATTATGTACCTTTAGTTATAAGCCGCTACAAAAACCAAAACCAACCCTTCACTTATTTTGCCTGTCAAATTTGGGTTAAAGTTCTGAATTTTAAATTATTTAAAATAATTGATGTATCTGAACAAGACACTACCTATACATCTGGCACGAATCAATAGGTTGTGAATTAGTAGCAATGATTTATATTTATAAAAAAGAAACCCGTTTCCCGTTGTCACGCCATAACTTGAGGACGGCTAGACTTTTATGTTGTGTTTCTTACTGTAGGGAACACGCTCTTATAACAGAAAAAAATCCTGAAAACACTATGGGAACGTAAGAAAAAGGGAATGTGCGTACGAAGTTGTGGGGCAGAAGCTAGTTTATATTATTTATATTTATTCTACGAGGCACTAAATCTCGTATATCTCGTATTCAACAACCACAATCAAACTAAAGAGACAGTCGACCTAATTACATTTACGTTATTTAAATGAACCTAGCCTACGGAACAGCACAGAAACTACGGTTTTCTTAATTAATAAAGGAATTTATCAAGCAGTCTTAGCACAAAGGTTTGCAGACCTAGGATAATCAAAATTCTAAACAATCTTCAGTGTGACTTGAATTTAATAATAAATTAAAGGTTCATTTGTAGTTTGGGGGAAAACAATACTGTTATAGTATCAGAGTTATAGTTTGAACTAACTTAATGCGGTTACACAGAACGTCAGAATCCACCGCGAGTGACGAGACATGACCGAAGTAATATTGTACTACTTAGTTAGTTTCAAACAAATATGTGCATACCTATATACGAGCATATGAAGTACATAAAGATGATTTTGGTATGCACTAAGGGCAAAATTAATATTCGTCTTGGACCGTAACAAAGTCCCTTAAATACAATGTTGCATACTTTCAACTTAGAATGTATAGAGAATATCTACAATATGAAAACGAATGAAATTTTTATTCAGATTTAAAATGAAAATTAATAACATAGCTGGCTTATCATGATATTCGCTAACTCGGCAGATAAACTAGATTATTCCAACCTAGTTTTCCGCGAGCAAGCTTACGGATACCGAAATAATAGAAGTGCCTGTAAAACATATTTGAATTCTTTGAAATGTATTATGTTAGTAATATGTTACCCGGTCTCTATTTGTTTCGTAAGATCTTCGATAAAATGTTATCGATATTGAGCTTAATGCTGAAAGATATGACATCATTGTAAACAAAACTACTACTTTCGTATTTATGATGTCTTCTTCTTTAAAGTATAATTTAGGATAAATCGTATTGCAAAGCTATAAAACGGTGTTAATGTCTTGCGTAGTAAAGGTCAGTTTGTTTACTAACATTTGACACGCCGGTAACGCCATCTAGTTTATAAAATTGGAATTACTAAGTAAGTGAGTGTGTAGAGGACGTTAAGGCCATGAGGTTAAAAACAAAAATAACTATTGGTTTTTCATTTTTATTTTGATTTGTTTAACCTCATATTTAATGTATTTTGACTGACTGCCTTGTTGACCGAGTGGTCGCAAGTGCGAGGGGTAAGGGAGGGCAAGGGGTCTTGGGTTCGATTCCCGGGTCGGGCAAAGTATTACTGGGTTTTAAAAAAATCTCAGCAGTAGTACGGAGTTTGTAAATGTACCCGATATATGGCAATAGGCTCACCCCCTATTACATGGGACTCAGAACATAAACAGTGAAAAGTGGGTGTTACTTCTGTGTGCACCTCTGCCTACCCCTTCGGGGATAAAAGGCGTGATGTTATGTTATGTCAATGTATTTTTTGTGAAGCAAGTTTGTTACTAGTTATAGGATTTCTATTGTCTTTTAAATAAGTATGACTGCAAGATGGCTTTAATACATATAGTAGGTATTAGAGACTGTATTTTTTTCAGAGCGGAAAATCTTCCAATGTCAATGTCTTCTCCCGCCCGGGTGAGGGGAGGGGAAATGTCAGTCTTTTACTGACTAAAAATCACCCTGTTCCTACTCCTGCACTTCGAGCCGGAGCCCCGGCAACCCGTTAAGCCCTTCGCAGGTCCGTATCGGCCTCAGCCCTATTGGGCTCCATCTGTGGTAGTCTGATGGCTGCTTGCGCTGGGCGCGGAACTGGACGCGCAGTACGCTTGGGTCTGGTTCTGGTCGGGCGGCGAGTCACCAGTGCTCGATTAGAGACTGACTTGCCCAATGAATTTGGTAATTTTTCACCTCGTCTAAACGTTGTCCACATATCGAAAAATATTATTACTATGCTGGTTCAGTCTTCCAAGTACTAAGTATGTGCGTAGGTGTATACGGCATAGGCACGCAGATACATACATTTTGGAAATTCATTCTTATTAATATAAATAAGTTCAGTAGTGACATTCTAAAGCCAAGGAAAATTTTATAATAACTATCGTGAGACATACTAAATTCTTCTTTCTTCAGGTTCTTCGTCAGTGAGCTGCATGACGTCGCCGCGACCGCGCACGCTGCTCATCAGGAAGAACCCCTCTGTGATCGAAACTAGTAGAGCTTTTCTCAGTAGGTATATTCACGAGAGTAACCCGCGATTTTAGTTAACCAAGGAAAATTCTTCAGATATTTTTTTTTTAAATTTGTAGCGAAACTACCACTTCCAGTATTATAACAATTGTTATGATTTAACAGGAATGAAGTGGTCCATGAAATTATGTTAGAATCTGCACTTCGATATTGCATTGTAGGTTCGTTCATAAAATCAGTAATAATTGCTTAATATAACTTCCAATTGTATTTTGCTTTCATAACGTAGCAATAATAAGGTTTGCCTATTAAGTACCTATTCATGCGAATAGAGTTATTAATGTTATTACGAATATCTACAATCAAGGTACGTTTAATTTTATTGTGATATTGTTTACTAGCTAATTGCCCGCGACTTCGTCCGTGTAGAAAATAATTTTGAGTTTCCAATATAAAAGTAGCCTATGTTACAAGAGTAACTAAAGATAGTTCATCAGTACATCACTTACAAACAGACAGCCAGACAAACATTGTAAAATATGTTATTGGGGTATGTGTAGCGTATTCATATGCACGTAATTCCTGCAAACATACACTCCAACTTTTTTTATCTGAGTAGATTTTAAAATTTGAAAAACTTGGTGATTGTCATAATTTCTTATAATGAATAAAGATTTATTATTATTATTTATTTATAATATCTTACGTCTTGATTGATATCAAGATTTTAATTTTATTGGATTTGTGAAAAATGTGTGTGGCAAATCGAGCAGTTACGAGATTATGCGACTACAAATTCAAGATTTGGGGTGAACTCTTGGTTTGAGCAAATCATTCTTGATTTTTTAATTTAAGTTACCTAATATGTATTTAATTAATTATGACATGAAAAAATTATGACTTTCGGTCAGATTGTAATCAATACACTGATTTTTACACACCCCAATTTAATGGGTATAATTTTTTTATGACAATCATCATATTAGGCTGTGTTAGAAAAATATGCGTGTTTTTATTTGCAAGCTTTTTCAGGGAAGGAAAATCCTATAAATCAAAATAAAAACGTAATACGTATTTTTGTAATAGAACAAAAAAAGGCCAAAACAAATAAAGCAGTCACAGTAATACCAAACACAAACAACATTAGCTAAACGCAGATGTCCCAACTAGTTGGTAACGACGCAACAAATCTCAGTGAACTATTTCCTTACTATACATTATTTCGTTTTACGTCCAATTTCCATATTCGGTGAGCGTGAACAATTTAATGGACCAAAAGATTGCTCCTGCCCGGCCTACGAAAAGGTTTTTTAAAGTATAACTACTTTCCTTTGGAGCATCTCCCGTATCTTTTGATGGGACATTTTTTCTGTGAGTGGATCATAGTGAATCTTTTTTATACTTTGTACAAAGTAATTAATTTTTTATAATAGCTT